TCTTTCCCTATCGGGCGACTTCCCTTTTAGTAGATCGTGAGTGGGTCTGTCGTCTTCCTCATTATAGTCATCCTAAAATCAATAGCATTTCATCGAAATATATCCTGTCTTTTCACCTTAGTAGTCCTATGCATAGTTAGTACTATAGCCCCAATCATGGCTACTAATAAAATAAGACTAGGAACCAAAAACCAGACGAAATAGTAGGTATAAAGTAAATTGCCCACTGTTTCCAAATTAGTCCAACTTCGTACCTTTCCGGCATAAATTGTATATCTCAGAGAGGTCATATTTCTTTGGATTGGTAGTAATGAAATGGTTTCATTATCTAAAATGAAGAACATTTCCCACCAAAGGATCAGTCCAATAATACCACTCACTGGTAAATAGCGCAAAACTTCTTCGTGAATCTCCGCTATTTGAATATGGAACATCATAACAACGAATAGGAATTAAACGGCTATAGCTCCTATATAAACTACTGCATTTTGTTGACCTAGGTTTAGGGTTCTAAAATAGAGTAGCCTAGTACTCTGGTTCGCTAGCTGCTAGCTGTGACGAGAGGAGTTTAGGGATTAGCTCTTGCTTTACTTTCTGCTGTTAGCAAGATGGAGCTATTGAATGCTATCTCACACCTTCTGTTGAAAGAAAGCTATTTTCGGGGTTAGCGCTATCCGAATGAACTACCTTAGGGCGCCCTCCCCACAAAACGGAAGGAAAGCGGAAAACCAAAAGGTTGAAACTCAGAAAAAACGGAACTGGCATGAAACGGTTGCAAGAGTAAAACCGGGAGCCTTTACAATGAGAAGTAAAGAGGGCTCCGGCAGGTTTAATCAATCATTAAAAAGACTGATTTTCTTGTTTTTCTTTCCTCCTATTTTTTTTTAGTCGTTAATTCCCACTTAAGCCCATCGGGCACATTGAGCTACCGTAGATGTGTACTGAAGGAGTAGTTTGCTGGGGAAGAAAAATTGTTTGGGGAGTAATCCTTGGATGAGGCCATGAGCTTCTCTTCAAGTAGGATTTTTTAAAGAATCTTTCTCCCTCCTTTCCTATAGGATGATTGACGTACTCATGACTCCCCTAGTAAAACCCTTTGGCCTACCAAAGCAAGGTTTAAATGGGACTCCAATTGGGACTTATTAAGAAGAAGGATATCTTTCTTTTTTTCATGTATCATTCATCAAAGTCATAATTGCCTTGTATTGTTACTCAGGGATATTTTCGTCTTTTGTTAACCTCTCTGTGATGTATATATTGATTATCAGGAAGAATTTCTTTACTTCTATTCTCTATCATTTGATATTTTTTTATGGTATCAGAGCCTGGGTCCGTTTCCCTGGGTTCCCTGCATTCCTAAGAGAGCTTTGTCGAGAGGCTTCCCCGGCTTTCTCTGTTCTTTCATTCAGAGATCCACTGCAACCCTAATGAAGGCCTTTTTTCTTAAGCTTTGGAGGCAATCGCTATAGCCCTAAGCTCTCACCCGATACCCATCTCCAGGTATATTTCAGCACACTTGGTCCCATACACAGGGCAATTGCATGGGTTATTACGGGCGACGAGAACCTGCTCTTCTATATCCGGGCCATGATGGTCCACTTCTTTTTGGCAATTTAATCTATTCCCTAATTTTTCCTTGTTTCAAGAGTGAAGAAGAGTCTCTTCCAAGGGTGTAAGAGCTTTTTGGGACTGTCCACAGGCATGCCGGCAGGTCTACAGTGTAGGGAGAGGATCGACAGGCTCAATACAAGGAGTCAGAGTTTTGGGTAGGCTTTAATATTCATAGCTTATCAGGGCCGGAACGGCTGGTTTGATTTAAAACTACAATTGGGCAAGATCTTTTTCAAAAATAAAACGGAAAACTCTTCCAAAGACGGATATGCGACAGCCTATAACATAGAGAGTTGGGATGAGCAACCGATATGCCGATCGAGTTAAGAGAAAAAGGGTTAAGGTTATTTTCTGACATCCAGTGCTTAGTTTTCCGGTTCAAAGCTAACAGCTATCAAACTTCCTTTCCATTGCGTAATAAGATAGAGGGAGGAAGCTCTCCAATTGGAAAGGGCTTCCGATTTTAAGATGAAATAATCATCCTTGTTTTAAGTAAGGCGCAGCTTTGCTGAATCTGGAGTTGTTCCCATCTCATCTCCTTTCTAGCGGCGGCTGATGCTCGTTTCTGGAACTTTTTCTAGAACCCTAAAAAAAGGTATTCATATCACTCGCAGATGACCGTCTGAAATGGGGATTCAGTAATGAGAAGCTGAGAGCGGGGCGGGAACAGCTTAGATTATAGGGGATCCCGGGTTGCCTTACTATTCAAAGGAGAGGCTGTTTCCAACTAGGCCAGCAACCGGTTGAAGGGCAAAGTCAGAGATTTTCGGCTGGGTCGCCTTTTGCCAGTAGGTCCTCCTGAGAAGTTACCCCGTATTCCTCTTCATTGAAATCTTATTCTTCTTCCAAAAGCAAAGGCTGTCTCAGACTGAAGGACGCGGGAGATGCTCTTTCGTCGACTGAATACTGAAGCTACACTTTATTGCCCATATGCTATAGGGATGAAACCGAGCGGTAAAGTAAATAGTCAGCGCGAACGGTCAGCAGACCTCTCGAGGTATTACTTTGTAGGCCGTCATCCACAAGGCACAAGAACTGTCAGAGTAGCCCATCCTTCTCACTTCACTCCTCTTGCCCTAAGGCTTTGGAACTGAACTGAAAAGGCCTGGGGGTTTCTGGGTAGGTAACTTAACTTCGCAGCTTCACAGGCTGGGTAAGCAAGCTCGGGTAAAGAGAAATAGCCGCTCAGGAAGGAAGAGAAGTTAGTTTACTTGTGAAGTACGGTTGGGCAGGTTCGCGCAGGGGAAGGAGATTGAGTGGGTTCTGGCCACTCCGACAGAGAAGGAAGGCAAGGGCAGAGGAAGGAAGCCGGCCAAAGTAGAATATCGCATTAACCGGAACCAACAGCACCCGCCTATTGAAGGCCAGTTGGATGCCGGGGAAGACTAACCTACTATAAAAGAAGGGGAAAGCCCCCCGGCCAATTAACCATGTAGACAGAAGTAGTGTAGGCAAGGGTTCGGGCCTAAGGAGTCGGAGCCTTCGGTCGGTCGTAGGTTCAAAGAGGTAGCCGAATCTGTTTACTGAGTAGGCTTATGCAAACGCTAGAGTGGGAGCTTAAGGTAGAAGAGAAGGCAAAGTGGTTGAAAGAAGTAGGTGAAAGAAACGAAGTTGGTTCCAAAGAAAGATTAACGGGAAATGAGAATAAGAGCAGTGACTAGGCGACCGGGGGAGCTCCAGAATCAGCTGTGGGACCGGTCTGTCTTGTATAAGCAATTCCTTGGGAATAGGTGACATCTCTAGGAGAGGGACGGATTTACCCCATGTCCAAGGCAAGAGAAAAATTGACCCTCCTCGCTAAGCAGCACTTTCACTCCTGCGGATTCTTTCAGACCGAGCAAACCAATGTCAGGTTGGCAGGCTGAAGACGAAAAGTATGGAAGAAATCCACACTTGCGAAAGGAGTCGATGGAAATCCGCTAGACAACATCAGGGAATACCCATGTCTGCAAAGACAATCTCTGTATTGCATTCGACGTTCGTCCCTGCTAAACTACTTGAATCCATTAGCATGCAATAAATAACGGATCCACAAAGCCCTCTTCAACATCCATGAACTAGCCACAAGCGCTCATTCTAAACTCCACCCGTCCCTTTTCTCTCTCCCACTCTTTGAGAGGCTTTCAATTAAGCATCTCTCGCTTGGAAAGCAGCCAACCGGTCGGTTGTAGAGTTCCTGCATTAAGCAGGCGGATTTTAAAAAAGTTTCTCGCGGAGACGCGGCCGTTCCAAGTCGAGTGCGCTTATTGTCTTTGAAAAGACATCTTTTCGAACTTCCCTATTCCCAAAGGAAGAAAGAAAAGGTGAAAAGCTCATTTTCGACCTCTTTCTTTCGTTGGGAACAGGCTCCCTTGCTCTATGACCCCTGTTGGTTGACTGGTAGCCTCCTCTCCTTGCGGTTGCCCGCCCTCGTTTGGGGCCGAATGAAGAAACTTTGGATAAAGCCACTTTGAATCCAGCGAGCCAACTCCACGTGGATGAGGTTGATGGTTCGGGGCATGAGCAGGGGTCCCTTCTGGGTTCCGATGGACCAGCGGCTGGGGGTTGCGTTTTGAACTGGCTGGTCAACCAGTCTGGTCGGAAGTGGGCTGTGCCGGGGGGTGCGGTCGGTGGATGGTGCGGCGGACCATTTCCCTCGTTATGCAGAAGAGGTCTGAGATGATTGCTTCCAACTCTCCGGAGCCCGAGGTAGGATGCCACCATGTCAGCATCAAGAAGCTGACCAGGATGTGAAGAAGGAGCATCCAATACCCGAAAATCAACCAAGCCATCCACAGCTTCTTTAGCTAAGCAATCAGCAACGTGATTGGCCTCCCTAAAAACTTTGATCTTTATTTATGAAACTAAACACATTGAGCTGTTATATTATAAATATTCTTTCATTGAGTTTGGAGGGCCCGAGCTCCCCCCTCCCACCGCCCTGCCTTAGACACGTGCATATCAGTTTTCTTAAATAACTGATCGCTATAACAGTTTCATTTTTTTTTTTTTTGTCCTTCTGTACAAAGTTTCCGTACAGACTAAATTGCGGTTACATCGTACCGCTATTCAACTTGTCTCATAATAAGACAAATACGCGTTCATTGGTACCTTCTTTTTTGGGTGCGATATGATTTGATTTGCATGGGCCAGCTTCTTAGTTAAAGAATTTGTGTCCAGTTTTTTTTTGTAGCTCTATGCTTCCCAGTCGGTGGCAGTAGTGATATCCTAATTCGGCTACCTCTATATGATTAAATTTCTTATATAATAAATTGAATCTAATAAGCATATTCTGTGATATAAATAAATAAAATAATAACGTTACTGGACGGCCTTAACGCTTCTCAAAGGGCCCGGGGCCCTCTGCGTCAGGAGTGACCCCGCCGGGGCGATCCAGTCACCCTGAGTTTATAAGTTCGATCCATTAGGTTCTTCGATTTTGGTTCAGAAAAGAAACGAGAGACAAGGGAAAACATCTTTGATTACGATTAAAAGGAACAATCTCAAATAGACCAAGATCAAATTTCGGGTTCAATTTCTGGTTGGAACATAATCTGCCATAATTCTCTTCGATCCCTTCATTTATATGCCAGAATAAAGAGAGATTGGTAGGAAAGGAAGAGACTTTTTTGTATATGATAAAAAAAGGGAGCAGGCAAAGCTGCAGTAATTTCTTTTGGAAAAGCCCGGTTCTCTTTGTTCTTTTCGAGCTTTCATTCCTCAATCCACTGTTTCGTTCCTTCATATACCCCCCCACCAATTATATAGAATCAAATGGGAATTACCGAACCACGTCTTACAAAATGCCAGTACCATGCAGCTGCACTTCAAAGCCAAACGTTGATGCTCCTTGGGTCAGCATGACCAAGATATTGGCGGAAACCACATATGATCCAAGAAAAGAGACCTATAATCCACATGAAAACCATGAAAGCCAGTTGCTAAGAAAAAGTAGTAGAACCATAAAATACTATCCGAATAGTGAAGGGTGCTTTATTAATTATTCCATTCCTGAAATCCAGTGAATACTTAGAGCCAGTGAAAACGGTAGCTACTAAAGCATAAACTGCTCGTTCCTCCCCGCGAGTTATAGCATGATGAGCCCAAGTTACGGCAAGCTCCGGATGAAAGGAGAATAGGGGTATTAAAAGGATTTCCCAAGGATCTAAAAACCCAAATCCCTAAAGGGGCCAAATACCGTAGATCTCTACCGTAGGCGCCAAAGAAGAATGAAAAGAAGCCCAAAAAAAGCAAAAAGGAACATAACCTTTCCGATACGATGAACGGCAATAAAACCATATCGAGGGTCCTTAATTGTACGACCTTTGGGTATGATGTCCTTCCCGTGGACTCACGTTAGAACATCGCGCCACCATACAAAACATGTGGGTATATAGGATATATGAGGCCCAAAACTTAGAAGTGTTGCACCCCCTTTGAAATGAAGTGCAATGTACATCACACCTCCTACGGTGGTTGCCAAAAGCTCCGATGTGAACCCGAAATTAGGCCATGGACTTGGATCTTACCAAATGATAAGAAATTGCCTCTGAGATTCAATCATAAAACCACTTTGGCCTCGGTTGTATGTAAACCCCCCCCTTCACCCCCGCCCCCTAAAGTGGTAAAGAAGGGCTTCTTTGGGGTTCTTAATTTTCTTTTCTATCTGAACAGGACAAAACAAATAGGAAGGATGGTTCTTCATTGCATTGATAGAAGGTCTTAACTAGAAAAAGATCTATCTATTACTTTGACTTTGAGAAGAGGAATCGTTGGTTTAACCGACGAACTACGTGGGAAAATGGGAATCTTCTTTCTTTGATTTCAGCCAAGCCATTTTTGGAAAGTAACAATTCCATTCAGTTCGCTTTTGGAAAACTTTCTGGTCGCGGGATAGTTGTGTGCGTTCTGCGCCGTGGCGGCCTAAAAGAAAAGGCGCAGGTTGATTCTCTTCGGTTGAGGCTGCATTTATTTATTCAACTTGACCACGTAGGAAGGGCTTACTCTACTAGTGGCTCGGCCTTGGTCTCGTCCCTTCCCGCACTTATTTGCCTCCCCACTAAAAAAGAGCGATTGATTAATATCGAAAACCTTTTGAACGTCCGTCTTCGCGGGGCGATTTGAAAAAGATGTCTATTTTTCTTTGTAGTGCCCTCCATTCCACTATTCTTTTGATCGAGGGAAAGGAATCTCTTCCGAAAGAACCAATGGTTCATAATGAGATAAAAAACGATGTTTCCTTGACCGTTGGGAACATGGATAGGCATCTATGTCATTCCTACAAGTGATCCCCCATCAGGATTAGAAGAAAATGCTATATGAGGACCCCTTCCGAGATCAAAAGAATATTGTTTCTTTCCATTCCTCGGTGATCCACTTATTTCTCCGAAACAAGAGATTCAAAGTTGATTTTCCTCCCTTTTTCCCAATTAATCAGTCGACAGCGTTATACACCATTTGGATACTTCGAATAAAACTAGAGTACATATTAGGATAACACGATTGCTTAAAACCTTTTTCTCCAAGATATCTTCCAAACTGTTGGGGTCGTTGCTTCCGGATGTTGTTCCCCCGGTGTTGAAACCAGTTGGTTCCGTAGTTTTAGAAAATTCTGCTGATCCCAGTAACTCCATCTCCCATTCATGCATATGGGGGAAATATAGAAGATAAAGAGGAAAAGGCATGACCAGAAAGAATTGTTGTAAAATAAGTGAATTTATCCAGTTGAGGCATGACTTGATGGAATTGAGACAAATTCCCTCACAAAAGACTGAACTCCGTCAAGCCTGTAGGGAGTAGTGAAGAAGATAACGAGAGAAGTTGTGGTTGGGTTGTTGACCAACCAAATAAATGGGATTATTTTGGGACGTAACATTTCTTTTGCTTCTCTTACGATATTCGGAGTTGGATTTGAAACAGATCGCTACTTTTCGTACTTTCTTTTGTCGAAATACGTTCCGTAAGATCTTGCCTATTTAGCCTATTTAGATAACATTTTTCTATACTGTGAAGGGGACGATATCATTTCTCTTTCTATACGCAACGCAATCGGAAATAGAGGAAAATACATATATTAAAGACCGACGCAAAGGGACAAGATGGTCCTGCCGGTAGAGATAGAGATGGGAGCCATACACTTGACATCCCAGAGACACGATGCGTTTCCTTCCTAAGTATCCGAGACAGGACTGACCGACACTTTAGCCTCTCATTCTTAGGACTTCCCTGTTGCCAAATCCTTTCCATTAAGGAAGAGAAGAAAGCTCGACCCATTCATTCATTAGCTAAAGGGGCTAGTACGCTCAAAATGCAAAGAGATTAGACTTAGACCCGCAAGATACCAGAAAAAGGGTGCGGGTTTCTGAAAGTCAATGTTTCATAAAACGGTGCGCTCCGGGCCATTCACTTTTTTTAATTTCAATATTGCTTTCTCACTCGAGAAGCCCTTTTCCAGCTGTTCCTGATGTCGAATGAGGTCATCATTACATTCATAGCTTTCACCTAAATTGCTGCGAGAGGGGATATGCGCCGCTTCAACTCCGAACCCGACTCGATATTAGGGCCTCGACCTGCGAAGGCTGTGCTGCAAACAATTCGATAGCTCGATCAGCTCGACAAGCGTTATTACATATCTAATAATAATATAAAATTAAGCTTGCTCGAAGAGGAGATCGTTTTCCTCCGATATTTTTTTTAGCTAAAAAAGAAAATCGGCTGAACCCATTGTAGCAGAATAAGCTGCCATTGATTTTCACCTTTTAATAACGATATTTGAATACAGACCGCAAGGTCAACAAAGGCTAAGGTTTTTTCCTCCATCCCGTTCGTTCCTTTCATTTCTTTTCCGGGTCAAGGAGATTGGTTGGGTTCTTTGCTTGCTTCTTTCAGTGGGGAGGACTTTCATCAGCAGCAGCAGGTGGGCTTCCAAGTCATCGCATTGCTGTGGTTCTGTTTCAGTAGAAGATTCATTCATGAGGAGGTGAATTGAGGAGAGTAGCGGTTCGCCGTTCTTCAATAGTAAGTTCTCTCTCCCCTTTCATTTCTAATCGATCTTCTTGGTTGGTCTGTCCTTCCATGAGGAAAAGGTCGCAAATGGGCTTTGATTTCCTTTTAGTTGAAAACGTGAGCCGAGGCTCTGCCTCTCTTCTGGGTTCTAGGTATGTGAATAAAGGGTATAAGGTTCTCAAAAGGGCATTCTATTTTTTAGTTATAGTAACATCTGCTCTGCCCCCTCCTTTTAATGATAGTCTTTCTTTCCTAAGCCAGTCTCCTCAAGGCTGGTCCAAGCGGAAGAAGTGGCTAGTGCTAGTGAATCGCAGAGCGAGATGCTAGTTTATCGCAAAAAGTCTTTTACAGTATTATTGGAAGCTGAACTTTCAGCAATGCCGAGTTCATCGAAGGAAGCTAAGAAGAGGAGAGAGGAGGAATCTGTCGCTACTTAGTTTAGCTCTTTTGTCTTTTATCTTGTCGGTCAAAACGAGCGGTATCGCGTACCATTCCGTATTCCCGTTCTCTTACAAAGAATGGGTGCTCTTCCCCTGGCCTCTATATCTCTATCGATCTCTACGAGTCTCTCTGGGTATAGGGCAAGGGCTCAATCTGTGAATGAATCCATTTACTATATTCCTCTCCTTCCTCCCCAGTCTGTCCCCTTCTTTGTATCGGTCTTTGTTGCGGAAGTGAGTTCGAAAGGAGCTTTGGGAAAGTCCCCAACTGGTTTGGTTTTTACCGACCAACTGCCGAAATGCCCTCTGCTTGGCGTTCAGCTCTTCGGGGGTTCAAGTCTTTTGACAAGCTTTTTCGTGAGGCCACCTTTCTTAGTAAAGGCTTTTGTTTGTGGTCTTGCGATGGTTCTAGCCCCGTGAGCCTCTCCAAACGTTTCTCAAATCGGCCCTCTTTGTTGTGTTTGTACGGGCGTACGGTACTTACGGGCCTTAATTATTTTCCACTTTCTCAAAATGTAGAGCAGCGAATCGAGAGGCTCATCGTATGTCCCCATCCTTTCTTCGATTCTATGGCCGATCTTCTTTAAGTCCAAGCTGGTGCAAGCCAATCTCTAGGTGGATCCTCCACGGGGAATAACTCGAGATAGGAAAGCATTCAAGCAAAGAAAAGGCTTTTTACTAAAATAAGGCCGGGTTCTCCTAAGCAATTAAAGGGCTACGGCTTATCGCGGGGCAATCAAGGCGCGGAAATCCCTTAGCTTGTTCGATACCGCATTACCGTTAAATATTTAAGATTGAATGAAAGTATAGTGTTACACCCCCGGCCGCATTTCATGCGCTAAAGCAAATCAATAGAAGACACTTTCTCCATCTACCGAAGTCGAGTTTGGTGCAGAACCCGATCTTGGAATTTGCTCGGCGTTAAGGCAATTCCATTTTTCTTGGAAAGGTTTCCACGTGCTGGTATTTATCCCCGGCTTGACCACACTCCATAGATCTTATCCGCAACCAATGGATTATTCTTGAGAAGGAAGGTCTCTTGTTTACGGGATGTATCTTGTTGGAAGGAAGCGTCTGATCCCGCTTTTAGAGGATATCCATCATTTCATCTTTGACAAAAAGGACTTTCCGTTGTAACGGAGCTCTCCTTGCGATCTGCCTGACTTTTCCAATGGGATATCCTCTAGTGTAGGGTTGGTAACGATTCTGCGAAAGCATCTGATTGGTCCAAACAATTCAAGAGATAAGAGATCTTGTCGAACTGACTGATGGTTGATGCCCATCTGCTAAGACTAGGAGAGAAAACATTTAGGAGCGAAGCATGGATAATAAGCGACTCCTACCGCTACCTCCAAACCAAAAAGGAGGATCGTTCTGTAACGTGGAACGGATGTATAGGAACAGGTACGCGGTATCCCTAAGACCCATGCAAACGACATGCGAAAAAAATACAGTAGATATAGCAGGACTTCTTTTTCCCAGGTGGCAGATAAGTATAAAAAAGTATGCTTTCGGGCTGAATCCGGAAATAGGCGCAGCAGATACAACAAAAGAGGTCCTGACTTTCACTTTTCAATAACAGAGGTAAAAAACTTACTCTTCAAAGGGGTTGGGGAAATTCTTCCAAAGTCTAAGTATATGAATCCAGAGAAGAAAAGGGAGCCCTTGACCTAGATAAGTAATCAGATAGCCTAGTGGCTAGGGCTAGAAAGAAGCGAGCGCTATTCTCAACTTAGTTCTCTCAAGAAGCCAGCTCGTCGTAACCCTAAAACGCGACGTTAGCGGGGTTTGATGCTCCTCCTGCAGAAGTAACAACATAGGACAGCCGGGAACGAATGACCCCTTCTCAAGCCTGACGCCTAAGTTGGACTTTTTCTGCTGCTTTTGCCATCGCGAAGTTTAGGATGGGAGTTCTTTTCCGACTCAATCAATCGGAATTAAAAACTTCAAAAATTTGAGATTCCATGTGTGGAACTAAGCTCAAGCGACGAACTGCTTACCTCTTGTACGCTAACGTTCGTAGGGTGGCAGGGATTGGTTCAAAACTCTCCTTGATTTATGGTAGGCATTGCTAGTTGCTTCCAGCTTTTTTCTACTATACTCATATTTCGCTTTATAGTGAGTCGAGAAAAAAGGCTTACTGAAAGCTTCAACCCATAGAGGATTGCGTTTTAGATTAATAATACGAAGTTGTTGGCGGAAAAGCTTACTAGTCTTGGAGTGAAAGAACTGGTGTACTCAAGCGTCCTAACTCATTAACGCTGTAGGCATAGAAGCTATGGGAATGTTTCATAGGGGCTAGGGGGGATAACCTCTTTAATTAAGTAAAACTAAGCCCACAAGGCGTAGCGAAGGAAAGAAGTTACATTAGGGCAAAACTCCTTGACTCGAGGTGAGAATTGGAATCGAATAATTTCATCGAAGAAATGAACTTAGAGAGAGGCAGAATAAACCGTTGTTGGAAGAAGGTGTTACCAAAAGCTCGTTAGGGCAAGGTTCGGAGCGAGGAAGCGCTGCACGAGCATCGCCAATAGAGAGAGTTTAGAGCAATGTAGAGAAAATCCTCCCTTCTTCTTTAAAGCAGAAAATCCCCTTTTCCTTTCTTTTTCTCCCATGCTACTGATTAAGCGTTCACCGCACTCACAGGGCTCTTCACTTGTGAGAGCTAATTATGTGATCCAAACAAAGGTATCTTGGGACCAACTCGGTAAAGAATTCCAAATCCGCGAGAACAGAAAAGAGGTCCGCGGGACTTTTCTCTCTTTATACGAAATTCCAGGACAAAGATAGAAAGAAGAGACAAACTTGGAACAAATGAGAGGATTGAAAACCAAGGCTTACAAACACTAACACTAACAAAGATAGATGGAAACAATACAAAAGAAAAAGAGGATGAAAGGTTTGAGAGGAATTCTACCCTTGTGGGGGCGGGGCTGGCTGGCTGAAGACACTAAGACGGAATACAATGCATTACGTAAGGGAAAGCTTCAAAAAGATTCCAACCCCAACACTTATTTAGACCGGAATGAACAGATAGGACGGGACTACGGGACTTAATGAAAAAGTCCCTTAGGGAAAGACGGAAAAAGCTGAACCTACCGACTAAGCCATAGGGAAAATGTTTGTCCACCAGGATAAGTCAAACCCATCCCTCGCGCTCACGAACCTCACTCTTCTTACTCGACTTTATTAAAGGAAAAAGCACGATTAGCGGACGGTAGGAATAGAGGGAAGAACAAGAGAATCGAAAGAGGAATCTTGAGATCCCCGGTAGCGGAGGCTTAACCCATTAGAGCTACAAAGATGGAGCAGTGTTGGGTGCGGCTCATGATGCAGGGAGCTGGGAAATAGAGGGC